GAGGGAGGGAGGGAGGGAGGGAGGGAGGGAGGGAGGGATGGAGGGATGGATGGATGGATGAAATTTATCTTTTATGTTTCTTTTTATAGTGAGTTCCGGAAAATGAGTTGTCAACAAATGCAGAGCTACCTTGGCATAACTCACCTTGGTTGTCCTTTGACCAGTTCCCTCTACAAAGCACAAATGAACATTGATCCAATTGGAGACCTGACGGTTCATATCCAACCTTCTTACCTGAAAACTTTTGTGGTAAATTCTTTATCATTCAATTATTTTGTCAATGTGTAGAATAATTTTCACGGGTATTGATAGAACATAAGTCATTCAGCCTGTCTGCACAGGAGGAATTCGGATAGTTTCCTTGCTTTCAATGTATTAGCCATTCTGGGGGCGAGTCAAACTCTCGGTCGAGTGCACATTTCACTGCATGTGAATTGTTTTACAGTCAAAACGGCTCAACCTTGCCGCCCTAGGTTCCATTAATGATTTCATTATTCGAATATTGAAATTTATTATTGTCTCTGAGAATACGAAGACTCAGGGTTCGAAATAATAACCGACTCAAAACTCGAATTCTGATTGGATTATTCCATAAGAGGAACACCATAATCCAATCAGAATTCGGGTTGTCTATACCATTTTAGTAAAAATACGAAGGTGATTATTGAAAATCTCGCGCGCTGATTGGTCGAGAAATTCACACTATCACACGATAATCACCTCCAGCGATAATCCAAAATAGCGGCCAGCCGCTTTGTTGCTGTTACCAGAGAGGGATTAAAAATAATGAAAGAAAATGCTGTCCCAAAAAGGACTAAAGAGGATAACAAATTTGCACTAACTTTGTTCAAAAGTAAAAAAGGACTTCAAACAATCAAATAAGTTCAAACAAACTGTTTTGATTCGTCGGAGTTCGCCTGTGTTGTAATTGAAAGCCGCGTTTGTCACTTCAATTAAAATTTTTCCTAATTTAAATGTCTCTTATCTTCTTCCCCCCTTTTTTTTGAAAGAATCACCTGTGTTTTATACTAAAACAATTATTTGTCTCAGCCTCAGTGAATATCGGAGAATATTTAACTCGCGTCTTGGTAAATATTCCCCGATATTCACTTCGCCTTTTCGGCGAATAATTGTTAATTATTGCTTATTTAGAACCTGAATTTAAGAAAAAACTTGTAATAACATAAGATGCCGTAACTTGTGATAATATAAGATGCCGTGACAATTAGACAAATCAATTTTTTCAAGAAAAAGCCAGCCATGTTTGATTGCAAGAGCAACACAATTGTTTTACGTGATCGATTCCCCAGGGTAAAGAGATTGTATTGACCTGCCATAGCGAAGAGGGACGAGGTAAGCCCTGTATACCCGGACGATATTACCATCCTGTATTCCCCATCGCTAATCCGGCTTTTGGTGAAGCATGACCCCATGGAACGTCTAAGCAATGCGACCCTCGAGGAATTTTGTCGAAGAAGAAGAGTTCAAAAGACATACTTCGTTTTGAATAATGATTTATTTTTATTCTTCACTTGCAGAAAACTATTGACGTCACAGGGTATTTGGACGTGTGGGATGACACAACAGGAGAACACTTGGCTTGCACCAAGACTACACTTCATTTCTACAAAGACTATTAGGTTTTCTTGCTGAACAAAGGCTTTACTTGCCGTGAAACAAAGATGTAACTAACTTTAACCCCAAGTTACTCGATACCTAAGAAGTCATTAGACATAGTTGATAGTTTTAGTTTGAATTATGAATAAATAAGAACCAAGATGAAGTATATTTGTAATTATTTGAAAAAGGGTTTTGAAGGGATGTACAACAATAACAACAACAACAACAACGACAACGACGACGACAACGACGACGACAACAATAACAGTAATAATAACAACAAAATATGATAATTACAAAGAATAAAGGTACTGAATAGAGGCCGCAAGTGACTCGCTGTACAAGATGCCGCAAGAAGGTTTGCGGGTACGAGAATCCGTAAGGGGATCGGGTTTCCAGAGACCGCAAGTGGCTTGATGTACCTTAGGCCGCAAGTGGCTTGGTGTACCAGAGGCCGCAAGTGGCTTAGTGTACCAGAGGCCGCCGGGGATTTGGGGTACGAGAATCCGTAAGGGGATCGGCTTTCCAGAGACCGCGAGGGGCCGTTTGTGGTACAAGAATCCGTAAGGGGATCGGGTTTACAGAGACCGCAAGTGACTTGGTGTACCAGAGGCCGCAAGTGGCTTGGTGTACCAGAGGCCGCAAGTGGTTTAGTGTACCAGAGGCCGCCGGGGGTTTGGGGTACGAAAATCCGTAAGGGGATCGGCTTTCCAGAGACCGCGAGGGGCCGTTTGTGGTACAAGTGGCCGAAAATGGTTTGGTTAAACACATTTTCTTTCGCCGTAGAAACCTGGACTCGAATGTTTAGTGCTTGATCACTGACCGGAATATCGAAAGTTAACTATTTTCACCCCTAAAGCAGCCATGAAACGAGTACGCGTGGAATGCTATCATTGGTGAGAAGCATTATGAATGCCCCGGGTCGGCAGTTGCCTATTTAAGCGAGAAAATCCAAGGTTTCGACCTCTTTTGCTCAGGTTCGCTGTACCAGTCAGTGCTAGACGCATTTTTGACCCCACCCACCTCCCCTTCGGCGACGTTTCTCCATTATAACAGTTCAGTCCGGTAGCTTAATCACAACCTCGGCAAAACTCGTGTTCCCAAAACTTAACCGCATGTATGAGGTGAATGGCTGCTTTGGCGGTGAAAATGATATACTATTCGACTCGCTTTTCCTCTTAGCAATTCTAAAGTCTTGTTTGCACTTACAACGCGGATAAAATTGCAAGTAAAAACCACTTGAAGTAAGCGTAATCATAATTAAGGTAAAAGAAAACCTTTGGCGTCGGCCTTGTTTGAAAAAGGTATTTTGTCACTAGATAAATTACACACAAGAGGCTCATATCTCATGGTCATCGACAGCCACAGCAAATACACAACCTGGTAATTTGCATAACTACAGTAATCTCTCTAGAATGTTTCGAAATCTCTACATCTTCCAGAATCAAGGGTCGTTGCGAAGACGATGTGAGGTTGATCAGGGTGTAATAAAAACACTTGGCATTGCTGTCGACAGTATTCTCACTCATTTTCACCCAACTTTGATTAATTTTGGATGAGGGAAGAAATCAGCTAGACTTTCTCAGTCCTGCTTTTCAGTTAATCAATAGCCACACTTACCATGGACAGTTCGAGCTGATTTTCGACTAAAATGTTGATCAAGGATAGAAGTTTGCAGAAACGTGCATTTCATGTGAATCTATATGCACGAAATTGTACGATTTGTCTTTGAAGTAGCTCTTAATGGGCTCTTAATGAAATCAAGGTGTTTCCATGACATTCCATAGAAAACAGGGGCACACACACGATAGAAAACCTTGCCTTTCGCGTTGTACGGTTCAGAAAATTGATCTGAAAAACGCAAAATGGTAATCTTTTTCCCCAACGATTCAACAATTCATATTACATTTTGAACATTTTCGTCTGTCCTAAGTTATTTCATGTGCTTACTAACCTACGTTTCCGACTTCCTACTTATTAAGAATTTTCTTATTATAGGAAATTAACGATCCACGAAATTATTTCAAATTTTCAATTAACGCGTTCATTTTTTGATATTAATTACCAGATTGGTCATTAAAAAGTTTCACGATATGAATTGCGTCTTTTCTATGCGTAATGTACGCCCTCTTAATGTAATGACGTCATTGTATAGCTCTAAATATCGGAGATCACTCATCTTGAGTTCTTTCGTTTTTTTAAACGTACTTTATAATACTTAATTCAACAGAAAGAATACGAAAAATGTGGAATAGAGTGTACGTCAACAACGTGACATTAAGGATACAAGTCCACACTCGTTGGCCATTAACAATATTGCATGTTTTTCAGTTTCACTTGAAGTTGAGATGTGAATCATTATTGCATTATTTTCTAGAGTTCTCTTAAAAATGGAACGATTTTGAAATACCTTTAAGTGAAACATGGCTTATTTTTGACAGCTTTCCATGGTGTTGTTCGCGCGTTTTTACCGCAATGAACTTCTATGCATTTGATCTGACAGCTAAACGAAGTCGGTGACCCCCATTTTGTATTTGCTTACTATACTTCTAGTATGTCATACTTTCATCATGCAGAATTTAAGACAAAATGTGAAGATTGATCGAGCTAGATCAGTCCTTGGCAAGTTTATCTTTGCATTAGCTATATATTATATTGCTTAAAATATAGTGGGCATATATTCGTTTGTTCCAGGGCGGGACATGCAAAATCGAAAAGATATTCCAGAAAAACCGATTTTCAGGACGCCGGTTTGTTTATTGTTACTATAGCAACTGGGACTGACACGAAATGCACGCTATTGTAAAATTTCTACTTTTGACAACATTTGACCTGAAAATCAAATCAAGTTAAGATTGGCTATTTGATCAAATGAAAATCAGAGGCTTGGCCTAGAAAAAATATATTAGTATGAAGCACCTTAAAAAGAAAGAAASAAACAAACAAAGGATATCCAACACGTGCACCACGACCACGATGGAATATAATGGAATAAAAGATAACAAGTAAATAAAAGATAATCACTAAATGACAAATTTGTGGAATCTCGATGTCTCAGATGATGTTTTTAAAATGAAGCTGTTATAGGAATACTAGACACTCAGCAGGATATCATTTTTTGTAGTGATATGCAAGATGGATCATAATGACTAAAGCTGCCATTGGCTCATGCTAATTAAATGGGACAACGAAGTGTAATATACAAATATAAAAAAGGTTGTTCTGCGAAAATAGGCGATAGGCGATAGGTCATACCAAAGAGGAAAATGAATTATGGGCAAACATTTTGCCAATCCAAAATAATCGACATGTTTGAAATAGTTTTCGTCGACTACAAACAATATTGAATATCTTAAAAATAACATTCATTCTAGCTATTCTGGTACCTTAAAATGACACATTTTCCTATTCGCCGAGTGCATATACATTATACAGATCGGCCGTGAATATCGCATATTGCTTGTTAAGTGTCTAATGCTATAAGTCCATGTTCTACTAAAATTCGTGACAAATATTAGAATGATTTTGAACGAGAAAATCCATGTTAAAGTTAAATGCAATTGATTTATAGGCTTTTCCACGACGAGTTATTATTTGCTCATTAGATAATCATATTTTGATAATGACTTTGAACTCAATAATTAGTCCCACTTTTCCTTGCCGACTTGACATCCATTTTTTAATCCTTTCTATGAACAGTTCTCCTAGGTGATCGCGACATTAGATTCCTCATAAATTGCTCATAGTTTGATAACTGCGGTCTTACTATGACATTGTTGCTACGAGCCGTGACAAATTTGAATGGAATTCCAAATTTGGCTGGAATGCTTATTAATTACTAGTCAAATGTATATAAAAAGAAGACCGTATTCTGAGAGATACTAATCGAAATACAGACGACTCCAGGACAATATCGGACAAGCTGGTAACAAGTAAGTTTTGTTCTTTAATATTTACTAGTTCGGCATTCATTTGATATATATTTGAAATGTATCGATCCAGTGATGTTCGGTTAGCCGACTACATGAAATAGCTTGCTTCTACGTATCTTTTTTATTTTTATTTTATTCAGTTTTCTTTTTAAAAAGATTTAAAAAAGTACTGTRATGTTTTTGATTTTTAACACCCAGAGAAGTCACACTGTAAAAACCATCGTAGCACGGAAAGTCGCCGATGTTTACCCTCGACTCTTTTTTTTCCCCTGCGTGCGTGGGCTAAATGAATTGGCTTAAGGTGACTGCCTACTTTTGGAAATTGATTTAAACTTCCGAATTGAAATTTAATGCTGACTCCAAATCTGGAAAGAAAAACTTAATAGGGTGTCCCGAGCTTGTTTTCGAGATAATCAGCATTTAATGGAAGCCTACGCACGAGATTTTAGAGTAAAAATTGCGCCACCGGAAGTGATCGATTAGAAAAAAATAAGATTCATAAGATAATAGTTATTTGCAGACTATATGATTGCACGAATGGAGGCTAGACAATCATTCTACAATAATACATGGATATTTTCGACAAAAAGACAAAGAGATACATCGATTTGTCATATATTTTGTAATGTTGGTGCTCTTAAGAAATCTCATAAAGTCGAATTAAAATCCCTACGAAAATCTATTTTTTCATGCCTGATACTGATTTAAACTTTTCCTAAAATGTTAATATAACCTAGATTTTTAGGAGTTCTTTCGAATGAGCTATTAAAAAATAGAGAGTCCCGTGCAAAATTTGAGGGTTTTGCCCTGTTGAAGCTCAAAATGCGTATGGTTTTTCTTGTAGATTTTTCAGCGGTTTTTGAGCGCGCGCACATCGTGGGCTTAAATCGAACGTTCAAAAGTAGGCAGCCACCTTAATGATGCCGGAGGTTTTCAAAGGGGAAAACGCCAATATAGTGGGGTTAGAAAAGTAAAATTGCAATATGCATCTTATTAGGTATTTGTATAAATGTATAAAAGTATAATACAACGTTTCTGCAATCGAGTGTATATATATATACACACACACACACACAYATATATATATATATATACACTTGATTGCAGAAAGGTTGTAGTATACATTTATACAAATATCTAATTTATTCAGTATATTTAATGATATGCAAAACAGAAAACTCGCTTTTTTTATTATTTTGTTTCATTCAATGAATGTAAAAATATTTTATTCTCGTGTTTTATATCCTACAGATTATAAATCAATTGGTTTTGAGGGTTAAAAAAGTAAAATTGCAATATGCATCTCATTAGGTATTTGTATAAATGTATAAATGTATACTACAACCTTTCTGCAATCGAGTGTATATATATATATATATATGTGTGTGTGTATCGTCTAGCAAGCCTGAAAGCCGGCACCAAATTATCCTGTGCTAAGAATGACCGACCGTTCTTTAATCAAAATTATTGTTTAGGTTTTGGTAAGGAAGATGGCATTCATCGTATTCTGTATTGTGGTCACTATGGCAACATTCGGCTTGGACGTTGACGCAGTTTGCACCAGTAAGTCATCAATTTTCAGCAAGCAACTAGCTTTCAGAGGTCAATTATTATAAAGTGATGTATAGAGCTTTAGACAGGTAAAAACGTGTAGTGAATGATACAAGCTTGTGTTCATAGCAGGAAATGTGTTTGTGGTATTCATAGTTTTTGTGACGAGCTAAATATTCGCCATCATAGCTAATCTATGCTAATCATTTGTCTGTATTTACAGTCAAACCAGCTCATTCGTTCCTGTAATATAAAGGTTCAAAGATTCATTTGATTATTGGAAGTCTGATTTCCATCTTGCTTTGACGCTTGCATTAATGAAACGAACGTTGCAAATTTATTTTGCAAGTTTATTAATAATTCATGAGGAACCCAGCCAATCAATGGGCTATTTTTGGGTCACATGATGTTACTTGAAACCTGGTAAAGTCATGTGAAAGGACTGAATTCAGTCTGTAGTAGCTGGAACAAAATCAATTGAGTCCTAGTCCCAGTAGTAACTGGAACAAAATTAATTCAGTCGTAGGACTGAATTAATATTGTTCCAGTTACTCCAAGTCGAATAATAATGAGCATGAGAAGTCATTTCAAAGCCTCCAATATCGGACTGGACGGGATTTCAAGTCCGCGCAAAACTAATTGCTTGGACTTGAAATCCCGTCCAGTCCTCAATTTCAGCATTGATATAGTATTTAGTCCTTCACAGATCCGTGCAAAGCTAAAATCATTTCAACAACTGTAGCTACCATTTTAAAGTTATTTGTGTGTGTTGCTTTGTTCAAAAAGTCAAAAGGCAAAGCTAAAAACATTTCAACAATTGTAGCGCTAGCTACCATTTTAAAGTTATTTGTTTGGTGTGTTGCTTTGTTCAAAAAGTCCTTTCACAAATGAACATTTCGATGTTTTGAGGTAAAGGCCGGGACTGGAATTTATACAACGTTCGATTCATTAATGCACGCTTCAAAGCAGGATAGAAATCAAACTTCCAATAATCAACTGAATATTTGAACCTTGTTATAGGAACTGGTTTGACTGTAATACATTTTTTCAATCTTTTTGTTTTAGATAAAGTAACAATAAGCCACTTTGCTCTGCTTGACCAAGCCACTGGAAATGTCCTTCAATCGCTTCCGATAAAAGGAGAAAAAAATCTTAAAGTTCAATTGAGTATAAATGCTAATGAGGTCCTGAACTCTGCTTCATACACGGCAAAGGTTCGCACGAAAACCGAAATACACCACACATTTGGGACAGATACGGAAGACACTGGTTGTCCATCTGAATTAACAACATGGTAAGAGAAATTGTGTCAATCCCTTCTGACGGACAGCAAAAACGAGAGAAAAACAATGATAGGATGGTTCATTCATTCGTTCGTTTGTTTGTTTGTTTGTTCGTTCGTTCGTTTGTTGGTTGGTGGGTGGGTTGGTGGGTTGGTGTGTTGGTGTGTTGGTGTGTTGGTGTGTTGGTATGTTGGTTGGTTGGTAGCATGGGTTGCTATGGGTTCGTGAGTTTGGTATGGGTTGG